GCTGCTAAATCCATAGCATTTTGTAGCCTTATAGAAACAGCTCTCCTGGATTCTATAATATTGACCTCCTGGAGGGTGGAATTTTGCATTCTGCTAGTGCTAGAGAGTTCTACGTATATAAGCTGCAGAACTTTGAAAATTTAATGTTTGGATTATAACTCCAAGAATCCCTGACAGTCAAGGTTGTAGCAAAATGATGTGTGATACTCCAAAAGAGTTACGTTCCCAAGCTTGAACACAGAATGAATTGAAGTTGAATACTGTAGGGAGCCTACAGCTTTTAATAGTGCAGAACTGCCAGAGAATGGGAAAGCAGGTCATGATATTGTAAGAACGGCTATCTGCGAACCATTCGCAGCTGTAACATTTTATTGTTTAAAAAAATGTGACTGATGCCTTGTTCCTGCTAAAAGTTGGCACTACAATTGAGCCACACGTGATCTTAACACTCTTCTCAATATATTCAGTCATTGGCATGACAGAGAATGTCTGTATCGTGATTGTAGAAGGTATATACCTTGCATGCAGTTGTTCTACAAACATGAGTACATCGTGAGAAAACAATTATGCTGGGAAAAGCAGAAGGCAATATCAAAAGAGGAAGATCTACCATGTAAATAGATTGATCCAATAAAGGAAGCATAACCTTGAATATGCAGGATCTGAGCAGGGCTCTTAATGACATTACCAGTCATTACTAATTCATAGGTTATTCATTAATATGGTTGCCATAAATCCAAAGCAATTTTCATGATGCCTAATAAGGAGCAAAAGGTCCCAGGTTCAATGCTTGTTATCTTCTCTTGGCGGGGCCGTGTAGCAGCTTCTAGCATTCATTGCCCTTTCTGTGATGCTTTTTCATAATACGGTTGAAAATCCTGTTGTGCAGTTATACAAAAGGTGTAACTTTTAGCAGCAAATTGCTGTAAGTTAAGAAATCTTTGCTGGCATGATCTGTTGATTGCAGAGTCATGTAACTCAGCATGCAGCAGATAATGCCTAAGGAGATTTAACTTACAGCTTTTCTGCTTAAAAAATTATGCTTCTTCTGCAACTACACAACAGGATTTTAGCCTATATATTTGATACTGCAAGACTGTGATTGTGATTACATTTTGTGTGTTTTGAATTTGAAGGAATCTTTATGTTTATGTTTATTTGTGTAGTGAATTTTGTATCCCATTACTCTGGCAGCTGTTCTCCCAGAATGGTTAACTTAAGATAGTGTATAATATAAAAATAATAAAAACATATGGTAATGTAGCAATAATAAAACAGATTAGTCAGGTGTCTAAACAAAGCATGAAACAGTAGCAACAGGAAGGATCTTAAAGCAAAGGACTGTGGGCTGCTTATATACTGTCCTATAGTGCTTAAAGCCCTCTCTGGGTGGTTCACAACTTAATTATTTAATTATGTGTGCTACACATTGCCCCCATCCCAACCCCCAGTGAGCTGGGTACTGGGTGATTGACCAGCCATTTAAACTCTGGGTTAATTATTTAATTATGCAGGCTACACATTGCCCCCATCCCCACCCCCAGTGAGTTGGGTACTGGGTGATTGACCAGCCATTTAAAGGAATGAAGGCTGAGTCAACTTAAAGTAGGCTACCTAAGCCTGTCAGGATTGACTCAGGCCATGAGCAACAGCTGCAGTGCCAAAAGGGTCCTAAATCCATTTCATTTACATCTTAGAACAGTTGAATTTTTAAAACATTTGGGAATAATTTAATCTATAACTGTAACTGGGTGAGAGTAACCAGGGCTTTTGACCCAGGGCATCGAAGTTTAAAGGGTGTAAAAAAAATTGCTGCTGGAAGGATATCCATTGGTTTTTGCTCTTGAAAGGGCCTGAACCCACCTACCAAGCCATGTGTAGTTCTTCTGGATGCTCCTTGATGGGCGGAAAGAAGCACAAAACAGACGGGTTCAGTCCTGAACCAATATGGCTGCCTTCCATGGGCACCCAGGCGTTCTGTGTGTTCCTCCAACCTTTCCCTTGATAGGCCAGTCTCACATGACCCAAACTGAACCAACAAGGCAAACAAACTCAGGCTGCCAAAATTGTCCATCCTATCGCTGATTAAACCAATAGTGTAACATTGGAGGAAATTTTCTTCCCAATCTTCTGGTTGGTGATTATGTCTGGCCATCCCTTTACGCCAGTGGTCCCCTACCTTGGGCCTCCAGATGTTTTTGGACTACAATTCCCAGAAGCCTTCACCACCATCTCTGCTGGCCAGGATTTTTGGGACTTGAAGTCCAAGAACATCTGGAGGCCCAAGGTTGGGGACCACTGATTTACGCCATAAAATTTTCTTGAAGGTCTCTCTCTCTCTCTCTGTGTGTGTGTGTGTGTGTGTGTCTGTGTGAGTAATGTCCTGTCAAACCAACCTATAGCAACACTAATAGGGCTTCAAAGGTACTTTATTTAAGTAATGGTTTTACCAGTTCCACTCCCCCAATGAGTTTCCATGGCTGAGTGGGGATTCGAACCCTGTACTCCAGAGTCCTAGAGTCTGGTACTTCTCTATCCACCACACCACACTGAGGTGCTTCACTAAAACTGCTGTATCATCAAGGGTACAAGCCAAGACTTTGACATTCTCCTGTACCAGCCAGAGCTGTCACAGTGACCAAAATCAATGTTCACGGGCTTGTGTGTTTAATTAATTAAGAAGAGTTCTCCTATGTTGCAAGCAGCACCAGAGTGAGAGGTAACGTGCACAGAATCTGGAAAAGGACACACGGTCGTGGAAACAATACAAATACAGAAGCAGGCAATACCTTTGATCAACTATTAAGAATGTAAAATGAATAGCAAGCTTCCGAAGATTCTTCTTCGTCTTCAAGGCGGTGCATCAAATTCTTCTGGGCAATTCCCAATTTATGTGCTGTTTGTAATCTCCTGAATTCACACGGCTGGTAGCGTAGAGCAGTGGTCCCCAACCTTGGGCCTCCAGATGTTCTTGGACTATAATTCCCAGAAGCCTTTACCACCACCTCTGCTGGCCAGGATATCTGGGAGTTGAAGTCCAAGAACATCTGGAGGCCCAAGGTTGGGGACCACTGGAGACCACTGGTGTAGAGGCCGGGTAAGCGCCTTCGATGGAAGCAGCCTGCCACCATCTCACATGGATTCATTCCCTGCCTGCTAGAATTCATTTTCAAGGCAGTATTTCTGCCATTTAGAAGGAATGGCCCGTCTCTTAAAGCAGACGACAGTCACAGGCAACCTGCCCCCCCACCCCCAGATTTAAGCCAGATTAGAACCAAATAAATAGTTTTATCTGCTGGACGCACTCTTCAGCGTGCAGGACTGCTTGTTTGAGGTTAAGAGTCCATGATGTCTGAGAACGCATGTTGGTCTTCAGTGGATGCCTTAATCGGCCATTCTATGGTATCTTATAGTTCAGGAAAAAAACTAGGAAAAGGCTTTGCGGTTGTTGTGGCACAATGACTGGCAATGTATTTGTCTTAGTAGAAGACACGGCTGGGCAAAGGGCAGCTCCAGGGGGCCTCTCCAACTTCTCACCCCCCCCCATTTTTCTAAAAACATTGAGCAAAAACGTTGAGGACAATGGCTCAACAGATCCCTTTGTGCCCTCACATGGAGCATTGGAACAATTTTGCCATGCTTGGAGCAAACCACCATCAGCAGCTGCCATCCTTGGCCCTCCTCTACAGTACCTTGTTGATATACTGTATGTTATACATTAAAAAGGCCATTAGAGGGCATAAGGGATTTTTAAAAAAAAGAAACAGAGAGAGAGAGAGAGAGAGAGAGAGAGAGAGAGAGAGAGACAGAGAGAGATTTAAGACTGGCAGCTGGGGGTGCAAGATTGATCGTAGGCTTGCAAAGTGTCCTGGGATGAAACTGGGCAGCCCCTGGACATCGGGAGGTAGCCCACGATTTATTCACTCCTTGAAGTAAAGGAGTGTTCTCCTGTCTTGCGTAATCACCTGCTGTGTCTCACGTGGGCACCCGCTCTGTCTCATGTACATACACACATGCATACACTCTTCCACACACTCTTGCGCATGTTTGAACTCAGTCTTTTTTTTTTTTTTAGTTTTTTGGCCACCTGCCCTGTTGCAGTTCTGTGAATTTTTGCCCACTCCCTGTCACTCTGTGTTTTGCAGGCACTCCCTGCTCTTACTCTTGTTCTTACTCATGGGGTGGGCACGCGTACACACACACACACACACACA